TGGGGGTGGGGGGTTGGGGGGGGGTGAAGATAGAAAGGGCAGTACATGATACTCACCACCAGTGGAATAGAGCAGATGAGCACAACCAGGGAGGTGGCAATGAGCAAAATGACCATCTGGATCTCTGCTCCGGCCATGCGACGAAAGCTCCTGCGCCGGCGAAAATCAGACAAGCGGTTGGCGGTGTTGTCTGTGCCCAGGGAGGTGCGTCTCATGAACTGGCGATGCATGCGGATCAGGGCTACACACACCATGACATTGCAAACGACTGTGACCATGATTAGAAAGGAGCTGAACCCAGCATACATGTAGGAATAAGCGGCATGGGTAGCGTTCTCAGTCTTCCAGTCTATGAAACACCAAGTGTAGGGGTACTGGTAGGTAGACCTGCCCAGTCCCATGTTGGGCAGGGCACAGAACAGTACATTGGAGACATAGATGGCAAAGAGAGTGAGCCCTGCCAGCTTCTTATCCACATAATGGTTGTAGAAATAGGCATGATTAATGGCCAGATACCTTTCTATAGACATGGCACAAATGATACTAAGCCCAGACAGCCCAAAGAAAAGGAGGATGAAGGAACTGTATTCACACAGTTCATCTCCACCTGGCCAGCGGTTCTGCAGGTATGTGGCAATAGTGACGGGACTCACCAGACAGGTCCCCAACAGGTCAGTGATTGCCAGTCCACACACCAGGGTATAAAAAGTGGTCTCCTTCTGCTCCTTCCGGGACTTGCAAAGCACTACAATGGCAATCAGGTTGCCCACCACCCCAAAGATGAACATGACAGTGGGGATCGTGGGAGGGGGCCTGCTGCCCCCATGCTCACTGGTGGAACTGTTCACTATTGTATATATGGTGGTGTGGTCAAAAGACATGATGATGAAAATACTGCTGTTGTGGGTTGTTAGGTGCCGATGAAAACAAGAGTGGATCCAAAAATGTAATTCAAAGACAGCCCTCCCCTCCCTGTCCCACCCCAAAAAACGTCAAGGAACAAATTACTGTTCAAGACTAGTGAGTCAATTTAAAAAATTCTACATTTCAAGGGAGGGGCGAGGGAGACTTAAGAAGCAAGCAAAGTCAAGAAAAAACAGACCTAATGAAAAGTGGAGTGACACCTGCACACACACAAAACCTCGCAATTCAGAGAAGCTGCAGTTAATGTTGTTGGGTTTTGGTTTTTTACTTCTAACAGCTTTCGTTGTGGCTGAGCCCTCTGTCTTTAAACAGGTTCTTGCATTTTCCAAAGTTCAGCTTGGAATCAGATCCCGGCGTCTGAGCGCGCGACTTTTACCTCTCTCCGGTGAACGCTGCTCTTAGCCGTGCCCTTACCCCTTCGCTTTGTAGAATCAAAATCTTCCCCGGGTCCCTTCTGCAATAGAGGTTGGTTCAGCGGGATCCTGCAAGCCTGGCAGTCGCTTTCCAAGCCCGTGTCTGCCAGCAGCGGCTGCTTCCCGCTCCTTGAGACGTGGAAATAAGAACGTCGAGGGGCAGGCGCGGGGTCTGCTCCCACTTCCAGCCCTCCCCGGGATCCGCTGCGGGGGGCTCGCGCAGGGCGCCGGAGTTATAAAAGCGGCGGGCGGCGGTGGCAGGTGTGTGTCTGTCCTCGCAGCAGCCTCCGCGGGATGTTGGACGGAGCGGCTGTCAGCTCGGC